AGAGAGAGAGAGAGAGAGAGCGACAGCAGGAACACAAGCAGGGGGAGTGGGAGAGGGAGAAGCAGGCTTCCACCGAGCAGGGAGCCCGATGCGGGGCCCGATGCGGGGCTCGATCCCAAGACCCCGGGATCGTGACCTGAGCCGAAGGCAGACGCTTAACGAATGAGCCACCCAGGTGCCCCAATAAAATCCTTTAAAAAAAAAAAAAGAATACCCTCTCCAAATCTTGAGTTTATAGCAATTGTTGGGCGAGTAGCCACGACAGACTGACATGTGAAAAAGGAAACAAGGAACTTCATGATTCAGTCCTATAATCAGAATTCTTCCTGCATTCCATTTTTTGTCTCCACATGTTTAAAAGCAGCAGTCTATTAAAATGCAACCATATATCATTTAGGGATGATTCAACTTCTTACTTCTTTTTTTGTTTTTATTTTTTATTTTCATTTTTTTGAGGGGGAGGGGCAGGAACAGAGGGAGAAGAAGAGAGAGAATCTTAAGCAGGCTCCACGCCCAGCGCAAAGCCTGCAATGGGGCCCAGTCTAACAAACCTGAGATCGTGACCTGAGCCAAAATCAAGAGTCAGATGCTCAACCAACCGAGCCACCCAGGGCTTTTTACTTCCATTTCTTTAAAGTAAATGGATTATTTCATTGCCAGAATCACAGAAACCAAAATTCTGCTTTAATCATTATTCCTGTCATGATGTGGACTGACCAAGATAAGGGTCTTCTCAAATACTGCTGCTGGTGGGAGTATAAATTGGTCCACCTTTCTGAAAGGCATTTATTCATTCAACAATAATTTACAGAGTACTTACCATGTAATAGGTACTTTACCTGGTGCTAGGATCTGAGATTTGACAATACATTATCAAGGGCTTTGAAAATGTTCTCACCCATCATCAAGGGTGATCCTTATCAAAGGATATTTAATGATGTTGGGAAATGCTCTTGATGTAATAGTGAGTGAAAAAAAAGCAATATATGCATTTGTATGATCTCAAGTTTTAAAAATGTTTATATAGAAAAACAAGGGAAAACACCAAAATATTAATTGAGGGTCTCTAGGAAGGACTGCCTTCCATTTTTATGCTTTTCTGTATTTTCCAAAATGTCTCTAATGAAGATATTTTACTTGTATGATTATGAAAAAATAACATGCAATCGAGTGCAAAGTTTGTAAAATAACAACCTTATCTAAGTTTTCCTCACTGGGGAAAAGAAACTGAAGGCAAGAAATCAGATATATGATGGAATGAAGCCAGAGACTAACTCTCAATCAGATTTTCCCTTTTTCTGGAAATTCTTGCCTGAAGTAAGCCCCTCAGAATAAATGCTATGGTGAGCCTTATAATTTCATTTTCTTTTTTTTTTTAAGATTTTATTTATTTATTTATTTGGCAGAGAGAGACACAGCGAGAGAGGGAACACAAGCAGGGGGAGTGTGAGAGGGAGAAGCAGGCTTCCTGCAGAGCAGGGAGCCCAATTCGGGGCTTGATCCCAAGACCCTGGGATTTGCTATCATGTCACAGAGGAATTTTGCCCAGGGTTTATAAGAAGGTCATATACAACTAAAAGCCACCCTAGAAATTGATTGTGGCCTAGTAATTGACTGTTAGTGGGGCCTCCTATTAATCCTGTTCTATTTATGTAGTGTCAACATCATTCTTGGGTTCTTTTAGGATTTTGAACTTAAATGGTTTCTTGGAGTTGATTTTACTTCAACCCAACATTTCTCTGAAGATGTTGAGAATTCTTATCTCTGCTGTGTTTGTAATCCAAATGAAGGCAAGCCAAGAACAAAGAAAGTGAAACATTTGGGACCCCAGAGATACTGAAGTGCAACCCAAGAGTAACTTCACAGCACTCCCAGTCTGCTCAGATAGAGCCAGTTAATAAATTATGCCAACACATGAGGCATTCAGAGGGGCACAGCTGCTCAGAGTGACAGTCAACCCTTGCTAGAGTTATGTTTTAATATAAAAACTTAATAGATATAATTTAATAGCAATTTTCTTTGGGAGTAAATTGGTCTCTGAATCATACTCAAAGAAGATAAAAGAAAAATGACTAATAATTCAGCACCAAATGAAGACCTGTGGTTACCTAAGAGGTACCAGTGTGCATGTAGCAATTTCTTCTTTTTCTAGATGAATACGCAAGTCAGGTCCACCAGATGAATGGAAGCTGTGGTGAGGCTTTCTTCCTGCCGCTACTCAAGATTTGCTGCTCAGAATAAGAAATGAGCGGCATCTCACCAGTATGGAAATGTTTCTAATAGAATATAAAAATCTGTTAAGCAATTTTCCAGTACATTAGGCTGAAATTGCTTAAGATGGGTCTTTCTGTAGCAATCAAACATGACATAAATTGCAGTCTTAGAATGCCCCTATGTGGAAAGTGCTAGTACAATTTGGCCTGCTATTTTAGTCAGTACTTTTGTACTCACTTCCACCTGTGACCTAGTACAATCAAGGCCTCCTCTCAACTATCCCAGAGAGAAGTTCCTAATTTGAGGGTCACCCCTGCTTTCATCAGAAGAGCCACATTCTTTTTGGCATCTCCTACAGGGCTCAACATGAAAACAACCATCAGCCAGTTTCCCTTAGAGCCAGCTTTCACAAAGCAAGAGTGGCTGGAGCATCTCTGAGTAAAAGTAAGAAGTTATCATTGACAGAGAAGTATCCCTTCTTGCCTACTTCTCTAGTCCAACCTTTTATTGATTTATGGAGATCAAAGAAGACCATGGCACTCAGGGACCATTTAAAAAATGAAAATGCTCATATTGAGAAGCTACTTTTGAATTACACAGTATCAGTGACCAGCCAGGCGTGGCTGGTCCCCACAATACTTGGCCTACACATAACTTTTCACCTTTAGAATAACCCTTTTGGTAATTCTGCTCTAAAGACAAGTAATCACTGAGAAAAAGGGTAGGTGATGGTTACCTACATCAACTAATAATATATAGGAAAATGCTGCAACTGTAGCAGGAAGTAAGATCTAGCACATTCTGAATATAAAGAAAATTCTATAAAATGGTGGTTCTGAATACTTTAATGCCACATAACGGGATACTATTACAGAAACTGACAGTGCTGCAGTAATGGGAACATTGTAAGACCCCCAGGGAGATAGAGAAAAGAAATACTTTGGAGCCAGGCAGGTCCCCATTTGCATCCCAGCTCTACAGCCTTGGGCAAGTCACACAGCATCAGTCTATTTCCTTGCCTATAAAATGGGACATTAACTTTAATTCACAACGTTCTCAAAGATTGGAGTGAAATGTAGAAAACTGGCTCATTGGGGCACCTGGCTGGCTCAGTTGGTGGAGCATGTGACTCTTGATCTTGAGGTTATAAGTTTGAGCCCCACACTGGGTGTAGAGAGTACTTAAAAATAAAATCTTAGGATCGCTGGGGTGGCTCAGTCATGAGGACCCATGAGGGTCCTGGGATCCAGCCCTGCATCGGGCTCTCTGCTCAGCGGGAAGCCTGCTTCTCCCTCTCCCTGCCACTCCCCCTGCTTGTGCGCGCTCTGACAACTAAATAAAATCTTTAAAATATATATATAAATTTTCTCCCTTTAACCCAGAACAGACCAAGAGCCTCCAAGTGAACACACAAGAAACATGGGGCCAGTCATAGAAATCAGATGAGTGTGTTCATGGTTTATTTGGTTTATCATGGTTTTGGCCACTACGTAGCTTTTTAATTGATTTTGCTCTGAGTCATACATGGTTTCATTTACACCCATTAATGTACCATGACTAAAGATAGGCTTTATTAGGAATGCCAATGGTAAAATATGAGTTAAGTGAGAAGTTCGTGAGAAATACAAGAAGTGAGAACCATCATAAAATTGGTAATTCTGCAAACTGTCTGAAGACGCTCATTATCAGTGCCGTAAGCTGTATTCACCTTATCACAATTCTCACTGCCTCTCATATTTCAAAAAACAGTGTAATTCAGATCCCAAACATTAATATAATTTTTAATAATGTACTAATCTGAATAAAATATATTTTTTTAAGATTTTATTTATTTATTATGAGAGACAGAG